TTTTATATTATAAATCTTATAATAAATCATAAGAAAATGTAAACTTTAAAGAGCTATACTGCAAAACTTTATTAATATAACTACTTTCATATCTTAATTAAAAAATGATTTTAATTTAATTCCAAATTGATTTATGTAAAAAAAACTCTTTTAAAAAAATTGGTATTTTTGGCCCTTTTTCCAGCATCTAGCCTATATTATATTGAAAATAGTATTAAGTAAACCATTTCGTGTGTATATTTTGTTTGTTTGATCTAAAAAAAAAAAGAATCGTATTAATTAATACCATTGTTAAAGATCTTATACATTGCAATAATTATACAATAGTGTTTCAAAACATTATATCATGAAGCTCATTTAATCGAATCATCTCTAAAAAAAAAAAGAATTGGGTTAATCAATATGATTGTTAAAAATCTAAAACAAAGAGTTGCAATAATCATATCAGTATTTTGTAAACGTCATGTCCTTAAGTCCGTTTGACTTCTAAAAAAAAAAAGAATTGAATTAATCAATACAATTGTTATTTAAAAAATACATAAAAATAAGATCATAAATGAATATAAATAGTTCCATTATTCGACATGTTGATTTTTTTTTCTTTAACAAAAGCTTAACAATATTTCGATTTTTTTCTTCTTAATAAAACTTAATATACAGCCAAAGTAACATCACTTTGCTCTAAAAAATAACAGACCCTGAATCTATTTGTTACATGGATCTTAAAGAGTATAGCGCTTCTGAAGACAATGGCAAAGAGGTTTTTATCATCGACCAAATGGCTCTTGAAAATGCCAGAGTCTTCTTAAATGATGATGATGAAAGTGAAGTAAATGACAATGAAGAAGATGAAGAAACTAATTGGGATGAAACTGCATCAGACAATTCTAATCTGTATAAAGAATCCATCCCAACAATACATAAAAGTGATATAGCAATTTCTGGAACTTCCATGCAAAGTCTGGGTCTAACACCATGTGTAGTTATAGATATTACTCAAGGTGAAATAAAACGTTGTAATAGTACAATGAATCTATGGCATTTGTGGCAAATAGTTGAGACATGGGAAATAGATGTAGACGCAGTCAAAGATGTTGAGAATTGTCTTTCTTAGCTTGGTGTATGCTACACCCATTTTGTTTTTGATCAAAATCAAATTCATGAACCAGGTTTAAAGCAATCATGTTTGGTCGACCAAAGTATTGTTTATTTTTATATTTGCCTATTTTGTAATAAAAAAAATATTTTTTTAGTCAAAGTGATAGCTGTATACAGCATTTATGGAGTGTCAATGAATGCAATATTCAAGTACCCTGTATTGGCATTTTTAAATGCTCAGCATTTTCTGAGGAACCTATTGCAAGAAAATCGCATTCGGGTTCACGTTCCTGTTATATATGCTCAGAGTGCTTTTAGCATCATGGTAGACATCTATATGAAAAATCAGATAAAAGAATCACATGTACCGAACTTGAAAAGCATCATAATGATACAAAGGATGCTTTAAGACTTATTGAAAAATGGTTAATCTCAATATCAGAATCAGACAACCAAAAACTACAAGAAAAATTCTTATCTCAAATATCCTCAACTATTTTTAATGATGTAACAATCGAAAACTCATCAGAACTTCCAAGTAAATTACTTATTAGAACGGTAATGAGACTGAAAGAAGTTGAATTAGACAGGTTGACAAAAACAAAGTCTCTCATAACTCCAAACAAGGCTTCGATGATGGGAGAAAAATTAGGAAGAGAAATTTTATATTCATGTTCTGAAATTAAACAAAATATCAGCCAATTAGAAAACCCAAGCTCGTATGAGCATTATGTATATGCATTATCTATTTTTATTCGCAACTTCTTTCAAGCTCTTTTCACGGTATTACAACATAAACTAACAGTCATCAATAATAAGAGACGTCAACGTGAACTTCCATTAAAATCACTTAATGAAAGCCAAATAATGAAAACTACTACATTATTGACTTCTATGCTACTTACTATCACTTTTCCTGGCACAAAAATCTGGCTTACACATATGATGTCATCAATATGCCAAAACCCGAAATTGCTATCATATTTGCAAAAAATTCTTTATTCTTCATGTGTCATATCATATACTAAGCGACATGAAAATCGTCTTGAAAAGATAAGAATGCAACAGGCAGACTCTAAAAAGAACTTACTTAATAGCCCAAATATTTGGAATCTAGTGGTAATCAACAATATTGATTTCAAAGCTTCTACATTTTCCTACGGCAATATTTTTGATATTACACAGCAAACATCACATGCAACATTACGAATGGTGTTTCAATTTTCCCTTCCTGCATTGCCCGAATATCTAACTAGAGACCATGAATTCATTGACCAACCACTTTTTGGAGAGTCTTCGACTACTAATGACCTTTTGATGATGTACGAGACTATTTTAAATGAATTAGTAGCAACTCTCATAAATGAATTTAAGATAAAAGATGTGTTCACCGAATTCACCAAGTATGTGCCTATAGGTTGCAATATTCCACCACCAAATGTTGTTATATTAGAACCTGGTGACCTGCTAAATTGTAATGAAAATGTTCATGCTGCATGTGAAATGTATCGTGATGACTTATCTTGTAATAACTATTGCTTGTATATAGCATGCGACCAAGCAATTTTTGGAAGATTAATCTCATATAAAGAGACTCACAACGATGTCAAACTTCTTTTAGGTCAGTGGCATACATCTAAAGACATGTGCTGCACTTTAATTACGATATCTTCAGGATACGGAATTTTCAATCTTGCAGCAACTCTTGGTGTAAAATATTTAGAGAAGTTTGAACTTGTAATAGATTACTAGGCAACAAACCGTGTTTTGGAACTGATTTGGGTCGCAGTTGGGATTGCATTGTATCAGTATTCAAAAAATAAAGGAATAACAATGAACCAAATTTTGGATAGTAATAATCACTTAGCAAAGGTGTGATACCTCTTTTTCCGCTAGATGGGATATTTTATAGGTCATAAAATTAGAATTAAAAGAGAAAATTATAGAATGCAGATGGCAAATTTAGCTGCATTCGCACCTCTATTTTTTGCAGCTGGAAAATTTAAATATGCAAGTGCTGTAGCACATTTTTTAGCTCAGATTCACGATGATTCACAGCTGCAAAAATTGTTAAAAACGGTATGTTCAGTAAACCTTACAAGTGATGGACATTATTTGGCTTTTGATGAAGCACTTGAAACTTATGGTGTAAAGTTTATCAAGCAAAACATAATAGGCAATCTCACTGATCAACAAACCATGATGCTGAAGATTAAGGCAGCCCAGAGTAAAAGAAATTGTTTGTCAATGCTTCTTGCCGAATATATTAACAATGTTGTAATAAGCCAAAATGTCTGTGCAATCAAATTACGCAAAGATTTACTCTGGTTTCTAGCAACAGAGTTATTGTCTGTTTTCAATTATCCAAATCCTACAATTCACTTTATATTCGAAGATGTTCCAAAAACTAGTGAAGATGGTATTAAAAATATTCTTTCCTTTTATGAATCCAGAAAATCATGTTTTCAACAGGTACTTGCGGAAGATGTATACAAGACTGAAATTCTAGCTCCTGAATGTAGTTTATAAAATATAAATTTCTATAGCTATGCTAAACTTGATATTATAAAAAAGCAAAAAAGTAAAAACAAAGGTAAAAATTCTATGCGAATTCAAGATGATGCTTCAACATCGCATTAAATACCATTACCTTCTGAGGCTAACCTTCCAAAACAGAGCCATCACACTACAACCGATGCAGAGAAACAAATACTGGCCAGATTGTTTTAAGCTAGAAAAGGAATGCCTGAAACCATAATTCCAACAATTGTAACAGAACTTCAAACAGTATCTTCAGATTGGACAAGAGAAAGAGTCAAACAATATTATAAAAATAACTGGCGTAAATATTCATAAAAACAAAATGAATAAATGAAGTAAAAAAAAGCAAAAACGTTTCTTAATAACTATAATACAATATATTGATGCCTGTAAATTCCATAATTCCAGTTACAAACAAACGGTTTTCAAATTTTCATAGATCTTGTATTCACATTTTCGTAAAACCTAAGTTCAAGAGCATGGAAAACAAAACTTTCATTAGTCTAAGCAAAGTAACTTAAAACATTTTACCCATTTGCTTATTATTTCTGATCCACATAATACAGTAATACATTGTAATAATTTATTAATTATATACTGAATGCTTACCTGATCTTTTTAAATAAAGTTTTACTTTTTTGATTATGTTAGTTAAAGTTAAAGATGGGTTTCATGCATGTGCATGATTGCGGAATCATGCGCATTAATGCGCATTCATGTGCATGATTCTATTTCATGTGCATTTTATCCCATCAAGATTTCTCTCCTCTCGATTATTTTTTCTTTTTTTTTATCATGCAATATCATGCGCATGAAATGTTATATGCGAATTAATATGCATTCATGCACATGTTATTATAAAATGTGCATTTTTCTTATCACTAGTTAAAGTCTACAAAAAGAGATAAAAACATAAATAATTTCGAATTAACGTTCTAATCTACCTTAGTAAAAAGCACTTTTTAAGAAATAACTGTAATTTACAAGTAAGGTGTCCTTGCTCCATTAATGAGTCTTGTAATGCTCCTCATTAGCATTTGATAACGAAGTAAAGCTGGTCTTAATCTACAGTATTTCAAAAAAGATCTTGTCATTTAGGCTAGAATTTTGTGATTTTCGCATCTCATTTTATTTTATAAAAAATAAAGTAATAAGTATAATTTTGCTATAAAAAGAAAGTTTATAGCCTGAAAAATAAATTTTATCTAAGATTGAAAATATCATTTGCTATTAACTATTTGATATATTTTAAAAAAATCATCACGACAATATGTGTTGTACAAAAAAAATCACTATGAAATTATTGATCAGGACATGTTCTGTGACTGATATAGTTTGCATTAAAGTTGAAAGTATTAGAAGAAGTTCTTTCAAGAAATTGAGTAAAGATTATTGATGATATATTAATTGTATAGCAGTTTGCAACTCTGTGGGAATTGAGGTAGCAATCTGTACAAGCTGAGCATTGAATTAATGAAAGGGAGTAGTGAGTAGAGAGTTCTGTATTAATATTTGTTTTCCAGTGTGTGATAGAGATTTGGTTGTCATTTTTAAAGTATCTACGAATTTTGCCAATAATAATATCATTATTATTGTATGTTAGTAGCTAGGGTTTAAGTTTTTTAAAAATATGTTGAGAGTTGTAAGCAAAAGAGTTGTGTTCAGTTTGTTAATATTGTAAGAGTAGTGTTCTAGAGCTATTGTTAGTTGTTACAGTATTCTCTAGACATGTAAACCAGGATGGCTTACATCCTTTAGATAGCTGTATTAAACGAGATGAGAGATGATTCCATAAAAGTAAAGTAGTATTGTCTGCATTGCAGAGTTGTTCAAGATACAGGATATTAAGTTTTCTAAGTTGTTTTTTAAAGATAATATATTGAGGATGTGAAGACATGATTGGTTCAAGTGATTGAAGGTTGTATTGTATAGTATTAGGCCAAGATACATTATTATTAGCTGTTATAGACATGTTAATATGTATAAAAAGTTGGATAATTTTAAAGTTTAGAGTATATCTATTAGGTTCATCAATATTGGGTTGGGAGTGTTGTAATATGTTTGTGGTAGACCAAAGATTATTTTGTAATTGTTGTAGTCAAATGTGTGTAGAGGTTCCTAGTAAATCAGAGTTATTAATTCATAACATAAAGTTAGATATATGATGTTGAAGTTGGATGTCCCAGATGTTGTGTATATTATATAAGAATTGGTTAAGCATAGAGTTTTTCAGAATAGAACGAGCTAGATGGGATTTATGTTTGGCTACATTTAAATATTTGGCTAGAATTTTATTACATACTGAATGAGGAAGAACTATATTGTGTATTCGGTATTCTAATGTGGGAATAATAACTGTGTTAATAATATAAATTATTTGTTTATTGTAATTTTTTTGGTATTGGTGATGTTTATAAGTTGGAGTGATTCTTCTTGAATTAGTTTAATTTGTGCAGTTTGTTTATTGTTAAGTGTAAACCAGCAATCAAGAAATTTAAAAGGTTGGTTGACTGAAATAGATATAAGCATAGAATTAAAGAATTGAGTAGTAGTTTGGGGTTGATTTGATATAAAAATAGATTTAGAGGAGTTGATTTGAATATTGGCTATTTGGTAAAAGGATGTTGCAGTTTGAAGTGTTTTTTCAAGTTCTAATTTAGATTGAGATATCCAAAGTGTATCATCCATGTAGGCTAAAACAGAAGTGGATGTATTAAGATTTTGAGTTTTAAGTGAAGAAAGGCTAGTTGACCATGTTGTAGATAATGTATAGCCTTTATATTGTGATGCGATTTTATGAATAAGTGGGTCATAGTATATTCGCCAAAAAAGAGGAGTAATAGTTTCACCTTGGTCTATCCTATTTTTAACTAAATAAAAATTAGTAAGACCAAAGTTTGTAATTACTCTGTTTTGATGGTCTGTAAATAGATTAATAAGTATATTAATCAGTTTGGATGGCATATTGATATGATTAAGAGCTTTTTCAAATAGGGTTAAGTTAACTGAATCGTAAGCTTTGCTCATGTCTTGGAATATAAGCCAAAGTTTCTTAGAATTGCAACATGCATCTTCAATGATATTGTTAAGTATATGAATAGGGATGGCAGTATTATTGCCTAGAAGGGCAATATTGTTATAGATTGAGAGTATTTTGAATTTTGTAAAGGTATTGTTTAGGCAATTTGTAAGCAATTTGGTATATAATTTTTTAGTATGTTCAAGGAGACTGATAGGTCTTGTGTTGGTGAGATTATCATCGAAAATTGGTTTTTTGGAAATTGGGAAGATTCTACCTTCTTTCCATTGTTTTGGTATATGGTTTGAAGAAATACATCTATTAAAAAGAGTAGTAATTGCTTGAAGAAATAGTAGGTCTGCATGTTTGAGCATTTTATAGCTAATGCCTGAAGACCTACAAGCTTTATTGTTTGGAAGTTAAGCTAATGTTGAGTTAACTTCATCAGTAGTAAATTCGAAAAGAGTATTGTTATACTATTCAGAGTTTATGTCTGGTTTGGAGTTATATTCATTTTGCCAGTCAGATTCATATATTTGTTGGTTAATATGTCAGTATGATGTTCATTGATCAAAGTGTTGTTGGATATGGAGTTTACTATTAGGTGCATCAGTAATAAGATCATTGTCTGTTCTGATGTTGTCAAATTTGACAGGATCTTTGTATTAGTTAAGAATACTATTGATTATTAAGGTGGAGTTTGTTTGTAATTTGTTACATCTTTTAGTAATATTGTTATCAATTTGTTGTTTAATTTCTTTAATATTTTCTATATT